TAGGGAAAGGGAGATCTTCGGCATCCCCCTGGATGATATTGCAGTCCTTGAGGGGCTCCTTCTGCTTGGCCTTGGCTAGCTGATGCGGTGACTGGTCGAGTATGGTGACGTTCTTAGCATCCACAGTCTTCACGATCCCCAGAGTGGCGAACCCGGTCCCGCCGCCGACGTCGACGACCAGCAAGCTGGGGTTGTTGAGATCCGCCGGCTCGAGAGCCTCGTCCCTCATTTCCTCCGTCCAGTGAGCCGGGTTTGCGAAGCGGTCGTATATGATTGACAAATACCTGTAGAACCAGTACGCCTCCTTCTTGTGCTGTATGAACCTAGGCTGCCCCGATGGCCTCGACGCCGAGGCTCCCGCTCTGGTGGTTCGGACCAGAGCGGGCTGAGGGGTGTGTCTGCCGTGCAAATTCGAAGAAGTTAAGGCCATCGAAGAAGCCATGAAAAGGGTGAGAGGAATTGGAAAAATCCGAGACCCAAGGCAATTAACTACTAAATGGGGATATGCATGCATGAAATGACATTGGGGATTTGAACACAAGTTTTGGCGACAGAACATTCAATTTCTTGGACAGAGTGCTGTAAGGAAATAATTGATGAGAGAGGGAGAGGATGGGGGAGGCCCATTAAGAAAGGATGGGCCGGTAAAGCCCATTATTTGCTACAAAAACCGAAGCTATACGCAAGTTTAAATGTTTAATCATTTTGATTTTCTCAATTAACTTATTAAAACTATGATTGGACCTCAATTAATCTTTCTAACTAATATTCCATGTTATTGAATCAACTTTTGACCTGTTCCATACAGTATTTATCAAGTAGGTGGGCGCACTCTGGCCTTGGAGGCAGATTGCTAAACAAATATTTTTCTTTTCTTTATGTCTAAACAAAGGCAAATACAATGGTCCTGAAGACATTTAAATATATATTTTTTTGGTCTCCAGTACCACTTTTTCGGCTATAAAAATATATGAATAACTAATTCCAATTCGCACGAAGACTGTGTGGATAGCTGTAAAAGGATGGTTTTTTGGTAGGGGGTCGGTCCATTTTAATTAAAAGGGCTAACAAAATAAAAACAACATATGAACGTTAGCGAAAATGGTAACTAAAGAAATGCAGCCGATGCCGATGGCCCACATCAATCGTTCATTCAGGCTCCTTTCCTGCGACTCATGGAAAATTTGTGAATGAAATCGCAAACAAAGGTAGCGATGATGCCACCTGTCAAATGTAGCCGTTGCGCCTTCCCTCTCTCCCATTTAAATACCCTTTCCATATGCAAACGAAAATCATTTTTTTTTAATTTTCCCTGTACAAGAACTCCGTGCGTTTCTCTCTCTCTCTCTCTCCCCCCCAAGATCTCTCTGCAAGATAACCGAAAAAGGAATATAGAAGAGGAATGCTGAGATCAATCCAAGAACCAATCTTGACGTCGTCATCATCAACGACAAGCGCAAGAAGCAACAGCAGCATCGGCAGCGTCAATGAGACGGACGAGACCAGCAGCAGCCCAGCGTCTTCCAAGCGCTTTGATCAGGACGGTGTAAGGCCGTCTTCAGGCGCGTACAAGCCACTCGCTATCTTGTCCGGTCACATGGGCTCCGTCTCCTGCGTGGCCCTCTGCGGCGAGTTTCTCTTGAGTGCCTCTCAAGGAAAAGACATCATCGTCTGGCAACAGCCCGATCTCAGGGTATTTGCGAAATTTGGACAGGGCGAGGGATCCGTGAAGGCCCTCGTCACCGTCGGGAACAAGGTCTTCACGGGCCATCAGGACAGCAGAATCAGGGTCTGGAAAGTCTCCCGGAGCTCCGAGAACGCGTTTAGGCTGGTCCACACCCTTCCCACCACCAAGGATTACTTGGGGAGGTTCATGAAACAGAGCAATTACGTTCAGACGAGACGACACCACAAGCGTCTCTGGATCGAGCACTCAGACAGCATTTCGTGCCTGGCAGTCCACGACGGGTTCATATACTCGGGGTCATGGGACAAGACCCTGAAAGTGTGGAGAACATCGGATCTCAAGTGTGTGGAGTCGATTAAGGCCCACGACGACGCCATCAACGGACTGGTGGCAGGGGGCGGGAGAGTGTACTCGGCGTCAGCAGACGGGAAGATCAAGATCTGGGGGAAAGGGAAGAAGGGGCATGAACTGAAAGCGACACTGGAGGGTCATGCGGATGTTTCAGTGAACTCGGTGGTGGTGTCGGAAGGAGGGAGGTGGGTCTACGGAGGGGGGTCGGATGGGTTTGTGATGGGATGGGAGAGGAGAGAGGAAGAGGGAGAGGATCGCTGGAGATTAGGGACAGAGATGAGAGCGCATAAGATGGCAGTGCTGTGCATGTGCGTGCAAGGGGAGTTCCTGTGCACTGGATCTGCTGATAAGACCATCGCGGTCTGGAGGAGACAAGGGAGTGGCTGTTTGAGTAAGGTGAGGGCCATAGAAGGGCATGAAGGTCCCGTCAAGTGCTTGCAGGCTTCTCCTAACACTGTGGGCGATGGCTTCATGCTTTACAGCGGAGGCCTCGACAAGAGTCTTAGGGTTTGGTGGGTCCCAAAACACACATCTGACGATTTTCATCGCTGAAGAAGATGAACCTCCTTACAGTCTACACGATATACGTCGCACATTCTTTTTGTCTGATACATCTTACGGGGTATTGTTTACACGTCTCTTTATAAAGTTTTTTTTTTTTGGCTTTGTGGTTTCTAATTCTATGGTCAGTTTTACAATGTTTTTTTTTCGGGTTTATGGTTTTAATTGTAAAGCGAAGAAATAAATAAATGATGCTTCTGGTTTTTTTTCCTATGTTACAAGAAGAATCTTTTAGACTTTGGATGTCGTTTGATTTGGGATCACACTAAGGGTTATGGGATTCAAAACTCCATAATTCATGTTGATTTTCGGTGGCTGGATTATGAGATACATAACTGATTAGGAAATGCTTGACATGGGAAAGAAATATACGGCGGTCCAGGGGCGGATCCACATGTATTGGTGTGGGGTCCCATGCCCCCATATATTTTGCCAAAAAAAATTTATTTATTTGTAATAGTTATAAAATTTTGATAAAAAATATCAAATGCCCCCATTTAATTTTTTGTTTTGCCCCCTCTCCTCTCATTCTTTTTTTATTATTTTAATTTTTTTTCTTTCTAAATATTAGATATTGTTAAGCTTTTTTCTTAAACTTAATTTCCATATTTTTTTTGTTTTTCTCTCTCAATTTTCTAAAAAAATTTCAAATTTAATATTAAACACAATACAAAAAATAAATTAAATTAAATTAAAAATACGTCAAAGTTACAATTTATTTTATCGGAAATTACATATTTTAAAAAATTATAAATAAAATTATTATAGATAAATTTTAAAAAATAAAAAATCATAGAATTTAGTAGTAAAATATAAATATTATTTTGACAGTATATTTTATTAATTTTTGATCTATTGTTTATTTAATATTTTAGAGTAAACGTTTTGGTACGATTTTATAATCGAACCGTACAAAACTGAACAATACGATATTTTATTTAATTCGAACGGTATTATTTTTAGAAAACCAAATTTATTGATATGAATCGAATTTTTAAAAAACCTGATAAATAATTTTTTTAATAAAACATCACATACATTTTTTTAATAAAAACCGAAACCAAACCGAACTGAATATGATATTGTAACCGATTGATACATATTTTTCTAAAATCGAAAGATTCGAACCGATCTATTTCTAAACCGAATATCGAAACGGTCGTCTATTGCCCCCACTAACATTTTTTTCTGGATCCGCTACTGCGGCGGTCAATGATTTATTCGAAGGAATCTTTGTTTGGTTTGTGTTAAATTATTCCATCCATCTCTATCCTGAATGAATATTGGGTTGACAAGAAAATGATTTATCATATATAGTATAACTACTTTTGTGTCAACCAACCAACTGTGAATTAGATGACATGCAATAACATTAACAGATACACCACCAAACCTTTTTTAACCTTTGCTTTGTATTAAAACTGTAGCAATGGTAGTGGGGTACTTGTTCTGTACGTTACCAAGTATTTACGCCACCGCCCTACGGATATTCGTCCGATTCTCAAGTTGAACATACGGAATTTGGTGATTAGATGAGAATGGACGCACGTGTCCAAAACATTCGCAAACGATTTTGTGACATAATGACAAGTCTAGTTGAAAAGAGAAGAAAAGCTGTATTCTTAGGGCCAAGTGTTCTCTGTAAATTCCACTGGAGAGAAGGTGAGGTGAGGCCAAGAAGAAGAAACCCCTCTTTCTTGCACGCTCCAAAGAAGAAAAAAACCCACAGACAAATTCTCGTTAAAACATGTAAGACCAATTCCCATACCACTAGAACTTTCATCTCTTCATTGTGAACCAATAAAAAAAAATGGATCACACGTTACTCACTCCGCTGTCTGTATCTGTCGGAAGGAAAATCCAGTGCCTAGAAATGCTTCTGAAAGAAAACGAAGGCATCCGATCATTTTTTTTACTGTTTCTGGACATTAGAGGGTCCACCAATCATTGAAGTTTGGAGCCTTGTCCGGAAGATCGATTCCACTTCCACCCGAAGGCTCTCCACATCTGCGGCATAGTCTCTCTTGTATTCATCTGCCATTGACTCCTGCAGTTGCACCTTCATCCTCTCCAACGCTCCTTCCAATCCACAAATGTCTCCCAAAACCCGAGGCTCTGCACTCTTAAGCTGTACGAGACTCTTGATTGCCTCAAGCGCCTGCAACACATCACGTACAACAGCAAGTTAAATCATAATCAAATGACTCAAGTAGCCTTGTAAAAAGCTCTTCACCTTCTCCTGGAGATCAAGATCAGCAGATGCAATCAAATCAACCACAGACTTTACGAACAAACCATCGCTTAGGAAAGGAAGCTCTGATCTTTCCGTGTTTTCTAGCTGACACTGGGCCAGATCACCCACTAAGAATACGGCTTTTCTTCTCAGTCTAATATCCATGCTTGAGTTGTTCATTACATCCTGCATAGTGGAGAAAATGGGTTGATTTTCAATCGATGGGAGCAATGCAGAAAATCCAAAGCCCGTGTGCTCACCTGAAGCATAATATGTCCATTTTCTGCATAGAACATGTGCTGACCAGCTATGTTGTTCCTGATCACGGTTGAAACAGCATACAGTGCTTTCACAGCTTCCTCAACAAAGCTTGAATTCATCATCTTTAACAGTGTCGGTAATGCCCCGAGTTGAAGGACCTGAAATCAGAATTGTGCGTGGATTTTACTTCGGATTGCCTTCATACAAACAACACAATTCTGCAGGCCCGAATCAGAAAAATGAAGACAGACCTGGTGCTGCACAAAGGGGTTGTTTTGGCTGGCTTTTCCAAGCACCCATGCCGATAGTCTCCTGACATCAGGGTCAGAATGATTGAGCTCTTCCACAACAACGCTAAGCCCTCCTAATTTGCTCAGGTCTGCACGGAGAATTCCGACCAATGATCAGAAGAAAAGTAAACAACTGCGTCCGAATTTTGGAAGACGAACGAATCTTGGCCAAAAGAAGAACAGATACATAGCTTAGCTCAAGAAGAATTACCATTTGCATTGTCGATAGGCTCAACGAGGATTAAAAGTTCCTCCAGAGCACGGTGACGATCCTCCAGAGACAAGGACGAATTTCTCAAGTCAGCTATGGCTATCTGCATCAACCCTGCGTCTGACGGCGTCTTCAACTTCTCTAACAGCTCCTGCGCAAGAATGCTCCCAGTCACATCAAACGACAGACGACGGAACTACCGCAAATTACATACCTTTAACTCCAATTGCCGCCTCTGCAACTCATCCGGCGACAAGCGCTTTACATCTTGAGCTGATTCTTTAAGTTCCGCTGGATCCGAGTGGCCTGTCGGGACAAATTGCAATTAAGATCTAGGGTTTGCGAGTGAGAAAATATTACGACGGAACCAAGGAAGCAAACCTATGGCCCACTGTAACATTCCATCTAGGGAAGAAAATCCGCCGTCAATTTGATCCTGGTCACCGATTACAACGCCGGAATCCTGGACGAGTTCAGCCTCGTATGTCGCAGTGTTGTTAACGGGTTCGCCGGTGGAACACGCCGCCATGGAAAGCAGCAGGCAGAGTAACAGGCATCGCGCCCTGCACATATTTTAAAGCGGCGACGGAAGCCTGAATCAGTCACCACCACGACAACGAGAAGCTCACGAATTTTGGAGTCCGACGCTTCTGGTCTCAGCTTTTAAACGAAGAAGGTGACACCATTCAGTGTCCTTACAACGTGTCCGACCAATACTTTTTTGACACGTCATCGTAGTTTGCTTGATTCTTCCCGGCTAATAAGGAGTTTTTAGCCCAAAGCTATGTATGCAAATTGGGTTATAAAATAATGGAAGAAACTCTTTTTTTTGGTAGAAGGTTAATCTTTGTATTTAGGTTAACGTGTACAAAATGCTTGAATGGTAGTAGGGTGGGTACGGATCACATAACCGAGAAAATTGAGAGATTTGAATTTGGATCCGAGAAGTTCGTGTATTTAACTAAGATTTGTATTCGGAATTTGGTATTTACGAGTATTCGGGTACGGATATCCGAAATAATAGTCGGATATTCGCGTGTATTTGGATCCGGATTTATTTAAAAAAATAATAATATTCATATATAAAATTTTTAAAAAATAAATATATTTATAAAAATTGATGAATTATGATAAAATATACGAGATAAAAAGAGATAAATAATAATAAATTTAATTTTTTGAATTAATATTAAAAAATATGAAATTATTTAATCTAAAATAATTATATTTTGTAAAAATATTATATAAATATAAGATATAATTATTTATAATCATAATAGTCGGGTATCCGCATGTATCCGATTTTAAAAATTCTATTATCCAGATTTGGATTCGGATTCACGGATATTGAAAAATCGAGATTTGGATTCGGATTTGAAAATTACGAGTACCCTAAAATCGGGTATCCGTGAGACGAGTATACGACGGATACCCGATTTTTGGGTATTTGTGCCCATCCCTAATGGGTTTGTATCGATACAAACAAATGATCTCAAGTCTAAGTAACAAATAAAAAAAATACTTAGAGTTTAAGACGTTCGAAAATAATAAAACCAATCCAAGATTGGGTGGCTCAACTGGTAAGAAACCAGATTCGAATTCTTATTTGGAAAGGGCCATTCATATGGATTTCTACGTTTCTTTAGAAGATGTAGTCGGATAAAATTTCCGTTGAACTTCCGGATTATCAACAAAAAAAACTACTTAGAATTAAGACGTTCGAAATAATAAAACCAAATGCAAAGGAGTGTCATACAATTGTCATCTCATTCGCGTTGCGATTGGTGGTATAGTCATGCTTTACGCATTGTGAACTTTAGAAGTGTGGAATCTGAGTATGAGTCAGACCAATAGAAAGTATCCTCACTAGTTGAGCTGTTGCGGTGGTTGCAAGATTGTAAACGTTTGGACAAAATACCCATATACAAAGGTTGGTCTCGAATCAGTGGGTTTACCTAGTCAATGCGTTCGAAGGATAGCAACTAGAATTCTCTCCTTATAAAAAAGTACTATGATGTCGATTTAGGATATGATCTATTTTTGTTTTAAATATGCCTGGACATAACTACCGCAAGTATACAGATCATTTGTAGTATGTACGATCGAACGCAAGAACACATGTGTTAGCGACGACGAATTCAGATTCTACTCGGTTTTCTGTCTGTGTCGATATTGATGGTCATGGTGATGACTAAATGTAAGAAACTATCAAAGTAAATACAAGCAAGGATTTTACGCAATTTAACTAAACATTATAGGTGTCGGAATTTACGGGTTATGCAAAGATCAATTCTACAGATTTATCTCGGCAACTTACGAATTTGGTACGGGGAATTCAAGACCATGACATAGAAGTTCACTCTTTAAAATCTCACTTCTCTTTCTAGAAATTTAATCTATCATCAACAAATCAAGCGACCAACAAGATTAATTGTATTAAACATCATTTATTCAAACCAAATCATCAAACTCATAGTTGCAAACAAAATTAAACACACATGGATCTTTACATAACTTAAATCCCTAATCTACGGATGAAAACTCTACCCAGACATCATGGAAAACACAACAATAATTAACCAACAAGAGTTCATAATGGAAACAAAGATAGGGAGAAGAGAATTCTCAATGATTTGAAGCTTGATTGTACAATTCATAAAATGAAATATAAGATAACATTATAACTAGTGAACGTTTCTTAAAATTTGTAAAAACCGGGATCATTTTGACCTTTATAATAAACAACACCAGAAAATCGCAATAAAAAGTAGCAATTAGAGTGCTTATGGGCGTTTTTCAATCCTAAACAATCACCGTCACAAAAACTATACTCGCAAATGATTGCATGACAACTAATCCAGCCAGCTTCACAATCTCTTGGAAAGGACGGACACAAGTGACGGGAATAATGTCCATCAAAAGTAGCTGTCCAGAGGCCGTACAGCTACTGCATTCACTGCTGCTGCTGGATTAAAGGTCCTAGCTTAAGAAATGCTTCCAAGCGACACTTACTGTTGGTACAGTAAATCTTATCCCAAAAAAATGTAACCTTTATCATCATATTATAAATTTAACAAATCAAGAGAAGAGAAACACCATGTCTGGTAACTACAAAAACATGATGGGAAAAATTCGAAGGTGTAGTAAATGTCTCCACTAAACTTGCAGACTCAACAAAGATCGGGGCAGCAGTCTTGACTATTACTGCGTTTGTCAAAACAAAAAAGAAAGAGCCAAAAGGAAGTCCACAATGTCTTTCCTGTGAATTCGGAACAAGTAGTAGGGGCGATGACACAACCATGTGGGCTTATATATATAAATAAACAAACCAGGAACCAGACGGACCCTTCTTCAGCGAACGCTGTGTTGCCTAGTCTTAATCATCCGTTTCAGTGTTGCCAGCCAGAAGTTGCATTCATCCCATTCACTGGTCGTAAGAAGGACCTGTTGCAAATACAGATCATGCAAACTCAGCCATAACTTCTTTCTACTAGGAGGATGTTTACAATGTCCCTAAACGCACCTGTATTTGTAGTGCTGCGCTGAAATCATGGTTGTCCAGCGCTTGGCAGAGCTGTACGAGTTTGTCTGCAGCATTCTTCGAGATGTCCCCACTATTGAGTTTAACAAACAGAGCCCCTAATTTCCTTGAGTTGTCTTCTATCTCGCGCTTCTTCGCTGGATTAGCACGTGCCCCTCCAAGTGCTTCTGATGTCTCGCTGAAAAGCCTTGTCAGCGTTGCAATTATAGGTTTCTGGTGAGCTGCAAGCAGTTTTACAGGAGGAAACATTGTCAGGTGAGACAAACCAATCATCACATCCGTACATTTTACTATGACAACCAAACCAAACAATGCTGCCAAAGTGCTCCCCTTTAGCTTTTCAGAGCAGTTTTACTGTACCTGGTACGTTGGAAGTATCTGCAGTTTGAACAGTTGGTGGCGGAGTCGCAGGTGTAGGGGCTGGTTGTGCAGCTGCTTGCTGGGCAGCAGGAGGACTTGCTGGCTGCACCGAACCCATTCCAGATCTTGGAGCAACTCCTGGAGTTGCCATGGGTGTGAATCCAATAGGTGTTTTTGTTGGAGCAACAACTTGGGGCATTTTCGGGGTAGGAAAATGACTAACTTGTGAAGCAGCAGATCCATGTGGAGCAGGACCGGGAGGAGTGGGGTATGCAGGGTTAAAAGATCCCTGGGGACAGAGCCAATAGCTTAGAAAAACTGAAATGATGGCAACCTAAAATTTAACTTAGATACGAGTGCACATACGGTAAACATATGAGAACCCATGGTTGGCTGCTGATATTGCTCCACGTTCTTTAGAGCAGGGGGAGTTGAAGGAACAAAAGTAGTTCTCATGGATGGCTGAGCATTGCTTACAGGAGCAGGGGCAAAAGATGGCTGCTGCAAAGAAACCAGAGAAAAGAAGGTTGATGGGCTGAGAAACCGAATGTAACAGAACAGATATGTCTCAATCACAAATGACTGCTCAGAAATTTATTCCCAACCGCCAGGATACTCTAATTTCTCCATTCACGTTACTCCTTTTAACCATAACAGTTTAGACCTAGTAATGTAGACCTTTTTGTTTTCAAGGAAAGTTTTGAGATTGAAAAGAACCATATAAGTAAATTCTATAAAGATTTATTGCCTACGATGTTCCCTCCACAGAACAATCGAAACTCGATGTAGACTTAGACAACATTGGAAATGGTTGGTTACTTGATTTAGACACTGCTCAGATCTGCTACATGAGGACGAGCAAACATCCTCGATCTTACCAATCAATGAGGGTGAAACAAATGGTAAATAGAAAAAAAAAAGTAAAAAGCCAAAATTTAATTACCTGTAGAACAGGCTGAGGTTGGTGAGGCATAAACATGGACTGCTGCTGCATAGGTGGATGCGAACTGGAAGGGACATACCCTCCTGTATAAGAATCATTGTACTGTGTCTGATGCTGATTATCATATGGACTACCAGGAACACTTGGCTTCATTTGAGGTGCCTCCTGAATAACAGAAGAATAACAGCTGAGTACCTTTGATCTAAAAGCCAAGTTGAACAGCAGAGAGTTCCAAAGCAACGTATAGGAACAGAATTCAAGATCAGACCTGGTGATATGGCAGAAGGTTTTGGGGCTGAGAATTAACCACAGGAGCAGTTTGTGTCTCCGCAGCAGCAACATTAGAAACTAGAAAATTTCAAATATCCACCAAAAGAATATGGAATTAAGCCAGCTCCAGGCATTCCAAGAAATATTCCTAAAGAAACAACTACAAGGTAAAAGTATAAATGTGACCATGTTTTTCAGCAGTGGGTAGTTAACCATCCAAAATACTTTGTTCTAATTCACTACAATATCATAGCTGAGATTCAAAGAAACTCCTAGTTAGGAACACCTTTCACCTATTCAAGAGAGATTTCTTCATTTAGAGCATGAGGAAACTTATTCATCAATACAGATTTTGTACTATGCTGGATCTGCAAGTAAAGTAACTTGATACTGTCAGTAATCTCCATTTTTTATGATGATGGGAGATTGATCTAAGCGCGATGAAATAGTTAACCTAGATAGGCAAACTGAATTGGTCTCTAGATAATAAGTGAATAATGGGTATCAGATAGATGTAGTTAGCCGAGGCTCTAAATTGTTAAGTTATGAATTCAAGTATGGGAATTTCTTGAAGAAAACTCCACCTCCAAAAGAAGATGACTTGACCCGTCAGCAGTACTTTCATGCTAAAAGAAATCTTCACAACATAACCACATACATACCGGGTTCTGCAGACAAGGCAATCCGATCTCGTAAGATTGAAAGTTCAGGTGACAAGCCACCAGACTCCAGAACTTTTAAACACTTCATTGCAGTTGTTAGAAGCCCCTGGCTGGCCAAAATCTCTGCATAACTCTCAAAAAGTCTGCAAAGGGATGTACTGAATCTTTTGTTTCCAGTTGCCAAGGCAAGAACAAGAGTCTTCTCCATAAGATCCTAACGAAAGAGAAGCAAAAGATTTTGGGCCGTGGTATTCAAATTAGCTTATGCACAAGATGTAAACGCTGATACTCACTTGAAGAAGCTCAGAATAAGATTTTCCATCACGCTCATTTGCAAGGCTGCTTGACCAAATTTCAACTGTTTTGTCAACATTTCCTGCGCAAATATAGCACAAAGTTGCAGCCACAGTATTACCGGCATCCAGCAACTTTGAGGCAAGAGCATCGCAGAGACTGGTCCATTCATCTCCTTGTGCAAACTGGTTGTCAACAAACATAAAAATGACATGAGTTATGTAGAATATTGAAGAAACACAAGTTACATGGCAGTTATCTGTTCAAGAAATCAGTCTGTCTTATTTTCAACAAGCGTCATCCAGATTCCATTTACCATCATATATTGGACAATACAAGGATCATGCAAGACGAGATCACCCATATTGATTGGTACAAGATCACAACATCATAAAGAAGATTCTTTTCAGATTTAGTTAGATTTCCTTCCTTCGGTCACCAGAGTTGTTATTTCATCGGAAAAAACCATAACCAGGTGACAAGTATACTTCCATGGTTTGATGAACTTACTGTACATAGGAGAGCGAGGGTTTCTTTCCAGAACTTTGGTGGCCTGGTGCGAACAAGGGTCATGAGATCATTGTTCACCATCGCAGAAACCACCTAAAAATGATTAAAGCAGAGAAGGGTGAATTTGTAAACTATCAATAAGATGCTCGACAGCACTGAACAGTGTATTAAGTGAGAAAAGCATTTAAAGGTACCTTCATGTAAGGTGCGCTGTTCATCTTCAGATACCTATCGCGAGTACTCTCCCATAATGCAACACCACCAACATGAGCAATGACTAAAGCATCGGCAAACTTATTTGCAGATATGCATTGAGCTACTGCTCCCTTGTAATCCCCCACAACCAATGCACGCTGAACAGCATCACCAAATACTGGATCAGAGCTTTCTTCTTCCTCTTCTGGCATTTGTTGAATCTCTTCTACGTTTACAGCAGAATCGGTAACTGGGGGAGTAAAGTCCCCAGCAGATGTTGATACAGGAGTATCAGCCTTAGGACTTGGAAGATTGTTGAAGAAGTCTTCACCATTATCCATAGAAAATACAGCTGCTTCTTTATTGTCCTCAGGCTCGACCGCATCCTTTTCCACAGTATCCTCCAACCGAATGCCATTCAGATCTGAAGAAAGTCCATCTACTGTTTCCTTCTCCTCAGATGGCAAGCTAAAGCCCAGATGACAAATCAACTTCGTCCGCGTAGTTCCTTCATCTTCAAACATTATTTTCAACAAGTCCCATGTCTCCTTTTCCTCGCTGGACCTGCCAAAACGGTAACAAGAGAACAGATAGGAAAAATTAAAACGCCTGCTAGTTTCTTGTGGACAACTATCAACGTATTCAATCATAAAGATGACTTACTCGGACACTTGAGATTTCTTCTCGCACAAAACCCTTAGAGAAGACTTGTCTCCTTTCTCTAGTGCTTCTTCAAATTCAGAAGAACGGCCCACCAAACTTTGTTCCATAATCAGACTATGCAAAAATACCTGACATGCAACATCAAATAGTGTAAAAAATAAAAAAAGAAAGGGCAAAAGCAGAAGACAATAAGAACCCACCACGCCCTTTGCAGGAGGCTTTTGGTGAAATGAAACAAGCTTTCCTCCAAAGCCAAAAGATGCACCAACTGGCCGCTTGTACCATTTTGGCGCCCTTAAGGAAGCTTCATATAGAACAGATATGAAGAGATGTCAGTTTTCATACTCTTTCCATTTTCCATCATAGAAATGACGAAAGCACTCAGCAATTGACACAGGGATGAATGGCATTACCAGCACCGAGATAGTTCTCTCCAGCACCATAGCGATTGCAACCCTACAAGGATGCCATATGAAACATGATTCCTTTCCTTTTAAATTGGGTGGGAAACAAGAAATTTAGAGTGGAATAGAATCTGTACAGAATATCCGAAAAAGATAACTTCTAAACAAGAAAGGGAAAGAAAGCAAGCCCTTGCATTTTTATTCTCCAGTAATCCCAGTGGTAAACTGGGAACTGATACAGAATATGAAACACGCTTCATGATTTTCTCTTTCCTTTATCAATGGAAGGTATACTGGAGATGTAGAGTGGAAAGAGTGTTATAAAGAATAACTGAATAAGAAAATTTCTCAACAGGAAGTAAGAACAAGTAAAGCCTAAAACATTTATGCTCTAGCGATCCCATCGACAACCAATATCTCAAATCCTACTTTAACAATGTCATGGTGGCCTGACAGACAATTTTTATGCTTAAACATTTTTTTCCATCTTATCATGAATGGGAAAGGAGAATGAATTGCAATTACAGAATGGAAATTACAAGCATACCTCGATGTTATAGATACCAATTTTCCCATCAAATGAAGATGCTGATATAACTCCGGGTATCTTTGGGTACCAATGAACATCAAAATTCCAATTGTTTCCAGCAGGTAACTCAGCCACAATCTGGCATGAGTTAGATAACATTGGGTTAAATACCATATCAAACCTAACAAATTTGAATCTTCAATTCTTTTTTTTCTACCTCTGTGGTATTCGTGTCCCAGCAAATAGTTCGGTTGTCTTTAGCACAGGTAAGAAGATATGAGCTGTCACTAGGACACCATTCCATTGCAATCACACCTGTTATTTAAGAAATATCACCGTGGTCATGAGACCAAAAATAGAAGAAAACAGGAACACGAACAACTACACGATATAGACAACGCCAAGGAAAGCATTCTATTGTAATGAGATGAAGATACCTCTTGTGTGGCCAACAAACTCGGTCATGGGTGACATTGTGTTCCTCATGTCCCAAAGCTGATTGCAATACCACAGATATCAATAAAAGAGCTAACATTGAGCAGCAAGAATTAACGCAATAAGTGATACAATACCTTCAGAGTAGGTGAAGTATCATCATCTGATGCAACAATAATCTGAGTTGCAATATCAGGATTCCACTGCAAAACTGAGCACCGCCGTCGAACAGAATCTGCAAAGCTGTTGATTGATAAAGGCTAGATCAGATTGTGATAACAGGTAATTGAGGATACCATGACCAGGTATATCATCCTTGGAAAAAGGCACACTGCAAAATCAGGAACTTACCTAATTACAGGCTTCTGCTTTCTCAAGTCCCAGACCACTGGGGAATACAATAAACACGAGTCAGTGGAAGCTACACCACAGTCAACCAAGGAATGATACAAATCAGTCAAACTAGCTAGAAGGAAGGAAAGAGAAGCCTAATTCTCACCAGTGGTGCCATTATATGAGGTAGATGCTAATATCTGCTGACCCTTTCTGTTCCAAGATAAAAAGGAAATTTCACCTTGTGCAGCGGAACCACCACCCTGCACAAATCCTTGTCAATGTCCAAACTCCAGAACTCAACACAATAGGTTGGAAAATACCATGCATTTCTAGAAATAAAAGGATCACAGTAGCGCAATAGTAAAAATAGACCAGAAGATGGTTATTAAGCTGGGGTCTAGATTTGCAAGAGATGATACTATACCTTCAGAACAGGAAAATGAGAAGGCTCAGAAGGCTTAGCAAGATCCCAAATGCAGATCTCGCCATCATCAGCGCCAGAAGCAAGCAGGTTTGGTGTTAAACCATTAAATTCAAGACCACGAACCTGGAATACAAGTAAACAAAGTAAATACACACTCTAATGAGGAGGTGTCCAGAGAGATAAACAAGACAGAGCTAACAATACAATTTTGCAGAAAGATACAACTCACAGGCCCTTTATGTACTGAAAGATGTCCAACAAGCACACTTTCGCCAGACTGAGAACTGAAAAAAAAATGATCAAATCAGACTAGGACAACCACAAGCATTCTTCAAGAAGAGTACATGCGTCAGTTCTCAATCTATGTTCACTCCTTTTATTACAGCTTAGACTGTGTGTCTTCAAACACACACCTTAGTTCTATTCCACCAGTACCAGAGGAACTTGTCCTGGACGCAAGAGGCGTCGACAAAATATTAAAGAATCATCAACGAAGTTAAATGGCTGCTAGACAATGGACTACCATTGGATGACGACCTCTAAAAAGAAACACATTATAACGCTAATAACTACTATACGGCTTGAGAAAACTATTCTGAAGTTAGAATCGTCAGGTATCCTTGGCAATAGCACAAATAAGCTCGATATGTGCATGCAGGTTCTCCTCCAAATCTAGAAGGTAACATTACTTACTTACATGATCACAAACAGGAATTTATCACAATAATGTCGGAACAACACAAAAACACAGGGTGCCAAGGGAAATACAGGTCCAGACATGCCATAAAATCAGATTCGCTGAAGATTCGCTGCATTCAACCAGGAGGTAAAGGGCACTAAATTCCATATTGCATCTTAAAGTAAAGATCAGTCAAACCGTCTATGCTAGATCCACCATGACTTCCCCGTACCCGGATTTTTCATTGTCAGCTCTCAGTGCAGAAATTAAGAGATTCCAACGCAAATGAGTTGAATTGCATCAAGGACGATGAAATCAGTCTAGTGTGATAAAGTGACGAGAGAAAAATCACCGGATCAGAGACAGCGGATTCCAAATATCAATATTCCCATCGACAAGGCCACCGGCGATGAGACCAAGGGAAAATTCTTCGGAGGTGGATCCATTTCTTCCCCAAGCAAGGCGGTTAAAGCGCTCGGAACTCGGGCACTCGCCCACCAGTGTCAGCTCGCGATCGTCAGACTGGAAGTCGACCTTGAAGATGTCGAGATTAGCGGACGAACTAAACGAAAGATCCACGGCCCCCGCCATCGTCCCCGCTGCCATGTACGGGGCGTCCGGAGCCAGCGCCACGGAGGCAGATCTGCTCACCCCCTTTATGCACGCCATTGTATGAGGAGATCAGAAGCGAGGGCTATAACCTCCTAAATTGCCGATTGAGGGAACAGAATGGCAAGGAAGATTAGGATCAGAATCGAACGGATCCGGTTGTCCCAGAATTAGGGTTTGAATCAGAGACTGTAAGAGAGGGGTAGAGAGAAGACGACGCAAGCAGATCCAAAATGGAAAAAGATCGCTTGTCAAATATATACAAAGTGGTAAGATGGTAATCCGATACAAGAGCAAGGGCATCGTCGTAACATAGTCCCAAATTATACCCAACATCGCCAATCATAAAGAGACACGTCTGTTGTTGTTTAATCCCAAAAACCGGAAAGACCAAAATGCCCTCCAGTTGCGCTGAAGGCTCCTCTCTCCCCATCCGGACCACCTCGGTCTCGTCTCTACACGTCCAGCTCCAGGAAGCTCTCTTCTCGCGTCTGCTGTGGCAACCCCCGTACGTACGTCCTTCTCTTTTCCTTTTGGTACTAGTATTCACAGACCAAGAAAGTGAGATGGTTCCTTCCTTTTCCGGTGGAAACTGGCTTGTCCTTCCCTGATCTAACCTGTGGGTTTTGATAGGGTTTCTAGGCTCCCTCTTGGTCTGTTGCTTTCTGAATTTCGGAAAAGCCCGTGCTTTGGGTTTACCAGCTTCACTCCAGAAAATATAGGAATTTTGGGCGATAATTGTCCCGGTCTCTCTTCTTGGACTGTTACTCCTCGACGCAACACTATGGTTCAGTCACTTATTATATTACAAAGACGTCAAGAAAACAACACCAAAAAAACGAGGAACTCGATCGATGTTTCTCCATTGACTGACGATCTAAGAGCTCTGAGAATTCTGTACTGTTATTGGAATAGACAAAGCCCAACTGCTTAGTTTGAGTTTCTCCATAATCTTTGGCTTCTGTTTCTCGTCCCCAAAGCAATGTTTATGAGGAGTGATGAGTAATACTCACATCTCTTCTCTTCTGTGGCTAGTAGCTGTCTGGTTGATGAGAACAAAAGCTGCGGGTGTTCCTCCGCTGAAATGTATACTCCCGGGGGTCTTTTTTTTTTGTCTCCAATCTGTTCAATATCAGAAGAAGTATGATCGTATTTCTTCCATTTCTTGCTTGACAGACGCGCAAATGGACGTTTGAGATATGAGCTTCTTCCCAGTGTCATAGGGAAAGGTACACGTTCAGCTGGAATTATGACCTGTTTTTTCGTCAAAACTTCTATTTTCTATGCTCTAGATGTTGGCAAGCAATAGGTTCACCATTCCACGATGCTTTGTTGCATTTTTAGTTCGGCTGCCGAATCTTATCCAAGGACCTTTGATTCTTTGATGGGATGGTACATTCCAAATCTCAACTTGTTTATCTTATTCGCTCATCTATACAATTGAAGTTTCGGTCTCTTGTGACGTTAGAGTATGTGGTTTAGTATTAGTATAAATAGCTTTGTATACTTCATTTTCATATTACAATTCCATTGTTGAATTTCCTCCATATTCAATATGGTATCAGAGAATAGATTCCTTCTGTGCAGATTTCATCTATTTGATTCTGGATTTCATTGATTCATTATTTTTCATTTCGATCTGTCGCCGAATCCGGTTTGATCAGTCTGTTGTTAGCCTCCCATTCTGCTGCATCGACGAGTTGATCTATCGTCGAGTAACTGATTCATCACCAGAAAACACAGAAAATTCCTCGCACCAACGTCATCGGTTCTGATCTGATCTCTGTCTCCTTCATTGTAGTACTAGGAGCAGAGGAGCTTCTGGATTTATTGATGTTGCTTTCACCGATTTCTGTGTTGATTTCGCCAGATTTGCTTCGGGCCGGGTTGTGTGCACGTTCCTCAATGTTTGTCTCTGCCGATTTATTCTTCATTTCTGATGCTAGATAGTGATGTATCTTCTTCATCTGAGCTGTACAGATGAAACCGAATCTGAGCTTCTTCTTTGTCTTGCTCTTATCTTCTTTACCAGGTTCTCATATCTGATTGTTCGACTCGTTGTTCACCCTCTTCATGTTCTTCATGGATTCCTTGGTTTCTTTATTGGCGTTGCTGTGATTTAATTGCTGAAGGTCTTTGTACCAGTGGTCGACTCTGTCTCTTTCACTGTTTTTTTTTGGTTGATTCGCATCTTACATGGTCATACATTCAGCTTGTTTCAGTTTCTCTCGGTTTAGTATGATTTTAGGTTTGGATGTATTTTCACCAGGTTTATTTTGGTTCTTTGTTTTCTCTGATCAATGTCCATTCCGATCGCGATTCTCTGATCTTGATGGTCGAGGCGTTATCCAAGCCATGGAGGCTTTGTTTCACTCCGTGGAGGCTTTCTTCGGGCTATGGATGCTTTGTTTAATGTCATAGAGGCATTCTTCGAGCCGTGGAAGCTTCATTTTATTCCGTTCAGGATGGATCATGATATTTGTAGTTATTGTAGTGGTTTATAGTCATTTTTTTTTATTTGTTTTGTGGTTGTAATGTTTTGGTTGTACTTGTTCAAGATAAAAATCCTGTCATCTTATGGGGGCGTATTAGAGTATGTGGTTTGGTTTTAGTATAAATAGCTGTGTACTTCATTTTCATATTAATTCAACAGAAAATCTCTCCCAATCTCTCTTCCGTTGTTGAATTTCCTCCATGTTCTATAGGTGGCTTCCAGTGTGGTATTGATGCTCCTCTAAGCGCTGTGAAAATGTTGGGCAAAGTCAGCAGGTTATAGTAAGCACCATTTATCTAAACAACTGCTCTTGATATTCTCTCCGGACTTACAGTACAGATTCCATTATTAACACCATTTTGAGTTTCAGAACAGACAAGTCTTGTGAAAACCTGCAAATCACGTGATATCGAATAGGATACAGATAAAGACCATGGTAACTGGAAATATTGGACACAAGGGACAGCTGATAGGGTATAAGCAGTGTAACTGCATTTTTCGTTTGGCATAAGTATATAAATCCTTTGCGGGTACGAGTGAAATGTGATGTAAATCAGCAGCTTCGAAGCGTAGAAAGCAGTTGATTTCGGGAATCCAATATCTCAGAGAAGACACCATCTACCTCTTTGATGAGTTTCTCCTTTTCTCTCTGCAGTGAATTGAGTTCCCTCCGCAGATCCTCTGCAGCTCTGCTGCAGAGTTCTCCTTTTGTTAACGAGACCTCAAGGCGAGCCACCGCATGGTTAACCCTTGTCACCTCTACCAATGTAGTACTTGTCTCTCCTCCCATCATACCATCAAAGATTCCCAAACCAGACGTCAAGAACAGAGAGTAAGCAGTGAAGTTGCGAATGGATCTTTTGGTTTCCAAGTAAGGTTTGGTGTTGCCAGTGAGAGCAGACAAGAGGGCGCCACAAACCCATGACCCAATATTCTGCATGTCCTGTATGGCCTGATGCACAATTCTCTCCTTCTTGGAGCCATCATCACATGGTTGGCTTGGTGAAAGTTCTCTATTTGGAATCACAGCTAGAGATGGTTGGATAGGTTTGAGATGAGAAAGGGCTGAAGTTGTAGAGGAATCCTGGAGGAGGCTCAAGGCGTGGGAGAGCCATAGCAGAGACTGAGACAGATGGGAGAGGGAAGAGGTGATGAGGTTGAGTTGGTCAAGGAGAGACAACGTGTAGCTCATGTACTCTTTGACACAAACGCCCTCCCATCTACGCATGGGATGGTCTACCCGAGATATGAGGAGGGCGAAGCGGCCGTTCATTGTCTTTATGAGGCCGAAACATCGCCCCATCAACGGCAGAGACAGGACGTGGGAGTCCTGGGAGAGCACTTGTGTCACAGACTCCGACACCTCCCATCTAAATGTTTGGAGAGAATCCAATAGGGCGATGAGGCTCTGGATTGGCTGCTCCTCCATGGATGATGAAACCAAAACTTCTGTCAAAAAGAAACTCTGATTGCGAAACCTTATGTCTGGTTCTTTCTCCGATCCAAGTGATGATTGTCAACCTTCTGAACTAGTCAAATCCACATAGCACCATCTTTCTTGGGATACTCAAAATATAATTTTGATTAGTATATTCCCGGGCCGCGGTGGTACATATGTAATATTGCTTTTAATTTTGGACTCTTTTGTTGCCTTTTTTACTTTTATATTCCTTTTTTGGTCTGGAAGCCGTGAGACGTAGCATTCAATAAGATCATGGCAACCACAACCTCATGGAATCATTGCTTATTGAAGGCACTTTCCCCGCAATCCAATTGAAAAAAATGTATGCACTAGTCACCTGAGCATTTTAAGTGTAGAAAAAGGCACATACGGAGAGACGATGGAGCTGATGAACCCCAACATCTTTCCAAGATGATGTGGCTTCCCGGAGGTTTCTGTGCACAGTTCACCGGGTACTTGACTTGCCAATCCTCCTTGGCCTTGTGCCCTCAGAGCCTTGTTTTCGGCTTTTAGCTGCATGCAAACACGCACCACCAGTTTCACTTGTACAGGTCTTAACATTGTGGTAGAGTGGCTATGCCGGTTATTCTTAATAGAAGACATGCTCTATTTACCTTCTTTATAGCGAGTTGGAGTTCCTCAATGGTTTCTTGTAAGGAGTAGATGGTCTCTGAAACAGTATCTTCGTATTCTGTGTCCACTTCTTCAACTGTATCAAGGTCGAACATAATTCCCTCCAGTATGAACAGTTCTTCTAGCAGCTTTATGTCTTCACCAATCATTCTCCCTTTCATCTATAAAAGGAGAAAACGAAATAGATTTTGATTAGAGACTACAACATTTTATGAGGCAGATGGCTTGGTGGTGGGGTCGTGACCTTCTCTAGGATCTTCCCCTGTTTTTTTTCGTCTTTGGTAACAGAGGGTTCCCCTGGAATCCTGGCAGATTTATCTTTATTGGTGCATGGTGACGCTTTGATATGCTTTGCCCTGCAGATTGATGGAAACAAAGCACCTATAGCTATAGTAAACGATACACAATATTTCTATGAGATTTACCACATGAAAAGTCGAAAGTTATTGGTCGAACATTCTAGGACTGAGGTGCTTCGTTTCCTGAAGTTCTTTAGACATGCATACCTTAAGCCAAACCTGAGGGTTGAGAGCGTTTCAGATGCATTGCAAGTGCTTGGTGAGCAACAGCATAAAAGTGCAGTGCGTGAGTTACCGCCCTGTGGCATGAGAAACCAATCATGAACTGAGAACAAGCTGGAACGTCGTATTAGACTCGGGAGGAGAGACTGACAAGAGCATCTTGAAGAATGCGAGTAAGCTTGGAATCGCGATATGGAATGTGGTTCAATTTGCTTGGTGAGCCACTTGTTAGTGCATTTATCACATTTCCCAAGGCCGAAAGAGATTTGTTGATTGTCTTCGCTTCTTCAAGAGCTCTACCTTCAGCGCCGGTTTTGTCTGCTTTCTCTGAACCAGCTAGGTCAACTAGAACAAGTTTTCCATTTCTTACCCTGTTTCCATGTCAAATTCCATATAACTTTGGACTGAACGAAAATTGTATGCGACTTTACCATAATATCGTTGGCATATATTAGTTGTAAGCAACTTCACCTCTTTTCTTTAATCAACTCTTGCTGGATTGTGAATAAGTAAATACAATGGCTTCTGCTGCTGGAAATATTCATCTCTGTCATGGTTAAGCTTGAAACATGCTTCAAGAGGACTGTGGTTCGGTTCTATTCCTAAGGATGATTCTGTGCAGTCTATTGCGTTCTTTCACCATTCAGTAAAAATGGATTGCAGCAAACCAAGGCTAAAATTTCTGAAAGGATACGGGTTTCCCCAACTGCTCGGTTAGCTGAACCAGTCTGCCAAGATAGTTTAAATTAGAAACACTACTGTAAGGAAGCATCAAGCAAACTCAAGGGTCTTGCTGTCTTACACATAAGTATTGTATCGCTTCTGCAGGATCCATTACAGCCACCTGAAAGAAGAAATGATGCAAGTTACAACCCTGAGAAAATTATAGCCGCTCTGATGAATGTAAAAAGCAAGCTCACCTCTGTGACACCTGACAATAGTATTCCTTGTCCTCTGTTCTCCTTGATCTGTATGTTTTCCTTTGATATGTCCAACAGGTCCCTGAGAGAGCATGTTCCTTTATCGCTCAGCTTCAGATTAAGGAGGAAAAAGAAGTGAAGTGATATATATCCATGATGAATTCAAGTACGTGGCTTCAACAGTTACCTGACTTTCTCCATGTAGATTTCCACCTGCAGGATGTAATGCGATTTCAGATATGATCAAACGTAGTGTTACTAACCAGGTTTTAGCAACTTCTATTACTATTATTGCACAGAAATATAGTTTAGAGCACTACCATAGACAATTTGATTGCGTATTTAGCAATCCCTTTGGAAGAACTTATGTGCTCAAACATCCCATCAACTACCCTTGGAATTAATCCTTTCTTGTGCTCATTGCTGTCCTGTATACCCGGTCCCTGGAATAATAGAAAACAACACCAATCATTTTCAGAAGGCAGGGTACTTCAGGCATGGCTCAAACATAAAGAGGAATCACATAACCTCCATGGAATACGTTTTCCCAGCTCCTGTCTGCCAAATACATAATAAATTATCGATTTTAGACAGAAAACCAGCAAACATTTCACCAAAAGAGAAAACAGCAAAGACATTTGAGGTATGCTTTGAAAAAAAAAGAAGAGAATTTTTAGGGAGAAGAAGACCAAAACTAGTCAGAAAGCAACTCATTGAATGGCATACCCGAAAAAAACTGTTCGACAGTGAAGAACATTCCATTTTGTTTCTCTCTTTGTTGGAAAATGTTAAAGCTGCTAACAACATACCTGTCCATAAGTTATGATTGTTCCGTTTATAGCATTCACAGCATCTGTTTGAACAATTGGAGACAGAGAATACAAAAGGTAAGTAGCATGAGGCAAGGTAGGAAAGAAAAACAAAGCAAAAGTTACGGTGTACACCCAATTAAGTTATAATCATTTACCAACTGGCCCTAACAAATGCTAACAGTTAAACCTTCCTGAACTCTTCGCATCTTTCATTTTTCAGTGTTCATTTCTATACGCGGAGAGCAAGAGAGGAGTTCACAGAGAAAATAAAGGCACAAATGTGATGTTAAAGTTCTTTCATTGACATATTATCACCAATCATCCAGGGAGAAGTCATCCACACGAAAAGGAAGTAACCAACAATGCTGCATACATAGTTTTGTTTATGAGTGTTGCCTTTACCTCGGACAATTGGCAGAGCCAGGAATTGATAAACAGCAGCTTGTGCAGAATCCTCATGGAAGACCCTATCTAAGGTGAATATAGACTCTTCTTCCTTCTCATCCTACACGCACATTAGATTGACACAATAACTAATGACTCATTATGCAAAATTGACCACAGCAATAATACATAAAAGTAAAACAACTGCAATCTGTAGAACACGAACCTTGAAAACAAAAGTTTCATTGTCAATGCCTTTGACACAGACGCTGTTCCCTTGATCTCTTTTCTCCTTTGAACTTAGCGGTCTAAAACGTGCACAGACTGTTACATTCGACATCTCTCTTTAGATCTGCCCCTACGAGTTCAATTTCCTGAAAAACTGAGAGGCGAAAGTCAGTCACCAGAATGAAACAGTGACAGTAGACACGAACTTGCATCGCCTAAAAATTTAAGCATGTTTATTTCCCAGTAACTCTTGTACGACCGATCAGGTTTCGGAGAGAATCATGGAATTCAGGATAATATTTTCCACGTAAGAACTTGAAATTCGAGCAGATCTCCGTGAACTCAGGATGGCGATCAGGAGTGCCATTTTTATCATCAAAATCCGAAGGATCGAGCTTAAGACCGACATGAAGCGCTCGCGAGGAAATATTTCCTTCATTTGCTCAGAATCCAAACGGAAAGTAGAGAAGATATCATTTGGAAACGTTCACGGACACCAAAGCAGAGCAGCGATGGCGGGAAACAAATTCAAGCATAAAGCAACATGGAAAGAGATGCGAAGCGTTCGAGAGGAGAAATTTCCATCGTTTTTCTCGGAATCCAAAGAGAGTGCAGACTGACCTGAAGCGGAGGGCAAGATTCTTCGGTTGGCGGCAAAGAAATTCAAAACCCTATCCACGCTCTTTTATACCTTCTCTCGGGGTCGGGGGCGAATGTTTTATCGGCATGTTTATTCAAATTGTTTGAATAGGATTTTATCGACTCGATCCCTTTTCGGTTATCAGTAGGATTCATTATGTTTGAGAATACTAGTAGATAGTTGTTAGGGCAAACGCTTCAAATAACCCAATCGCATCGAGAGCTTATTTGATACAACAGCAAAAATAGAACTAATTAACAAAGTCCACTTTACCCTTAATAAAAGTTTACCTCCTTTTCTGAATTGGAGCATGGCAACGATTATACACGCGTAGGAGTTTTTACTCATTTAATCATCAAAAGAAAGGGGTTATGGAAAAATTTGGAATCGGATAATTCTTCTAGATGTGACAAAACACTTTACAAAAATGTTATTTGGTCCCTGACGAGCAAAAAGACCGACATACGTGCTTTAGATGTGAAAAAGAGAAATTTGCTATGCAATTGCTCGTTCAATAACACAGACCAAAAATTTGAAAAATGAACAAAATGAACAAAGCTTTTATATGGATTTTGCAAAAACACATAAAAAAGGTTCGCAAATCTCTAAAAAAACGTTAAAAGCCTGTTATATCTCGTCTTAAGAGGTCGATGGTGTATATATCCACTCAAAATGTCGAAAGAATTCGAAAATTTGGAAGCTTTTTTGATCGGTCATGATTTTTCGCTCAAACGGTCATGTAGATTTTTCGACGATCGACCTATCGTCTGACAATGTTCTTCATTTTAAAACTACGATCGATCGATCGTATCGTCTGAACAAATTTATCTGAAACCATATCAATCTATCGTCTATGGACGATTGACCGATTGTATCTTCTGGGCAAATTAATCTGAGAACATGATCGACCTATAGTCCTAGATGATAGATCCATCATGCTCTCTAAGCATTTTGGTAGAAGAGAAAGATCGATCTATCGTCAGCAGACGATCAGACAATCGTACTCTCTGAACAATTTGAAATTTTTTTTTTCGAACACACAATCGACTGATCGTATCCCACGATCGATCGATCGTTAGCTAAGACTTAGGTGTTGAATGGGGAGAATTTTCGGAGTTTTTAGATTTTAAAAACTGAAAAAAACTGACAATCTAAATTTTTTAAAATTTGGTTTTTCTAATAATCCGAAAATCTATTTTATGAAAAAAATCAACTAAAAACCAAAAGTCACAATTTTTTAGACTTACAAACTTATGAAATCCAAAAACCAAAAACCAAAAACCAAAAACCAAAAACCAAAAACCAAAAACTAAAACCAAAAACCCAAAATAAAAACCAATATCATTCAAGACCTTATTTTTTTTACATTCTAAACCGAATCGTATGTTTTTCCATCAAACATTAACACTTTAATCAATTCATAACGCGACACATGTTTATAAATTTTTTAATAGTATTTATTTTCCATCAATTTACTCTAAAATATATAACAATCATGAACCCAACAAATAAAAGATGTATTTTTATTGATTATAGACAAATTTGAATCCATGTGAGAAAAATAGTAGAATACTAAAACCAATAACCCAAAATAAAAACCACTCTCATTCAAAATCTTACAATTAAATTTTTATAAAAGTAGGTTTTTAAAAAAACTTAAAAAACCATTTCATCACAAAATCAACTAGGGAAAGCAAGAGAAGAGAGAGGAAATTTCGAAATTTGCCCAAAAAAGGGAAGAACAACAGAAAATCACAAATTCTGACCGAAACCCTAAAACATTGTAATCCAAACCACTAGAAACTCTAAACTCTAACCCACAAATCACAAACAAGTCGTATTTGTTCATCACACTTTTCAAAATAAAAATTCAAAACATCAGAAAATTTAAAAACAAACTGTGACAACACAAGTTCTATTTGTGTATCACATTGTCTTCTTATGTGGCAAAACAAATTTATAACGATTACTTTAGAATTATAAAACTATTTTGAGGGAAAACATTTTTTAATGTATATTATATTATTTGTCATACTTTCATATTTTCTTTGTCAACGGAAATACTATCAAGAATGTTGGACCAATCAGCCATATCAGGTAAGTTGAAACCTCACCAGGAATGTAGGGACCCTTTAATCACTCATTTGTCCTTTGCAGATGACGTGATGATATTCTCCGAGGCTACAAATGAATCAATCAATGAGATTAAAGCTATACTAGGGGAGTTTGCGAGTTACACAAGTCTACAACTCAATCGAGCAAAATCTGACCTCTTTGTTACCGGAGTAAATGACCAAACAGCAACTGAACTATCTCAAAATATGGGAGTCCGCAAGGCAAGCTACCGATACGCTATCTAGGTGTCCATCTGAGCCCGTGGAGACTATCCAAGCTGGACTATCAGCCCCTTGTAGAAAGGATAACCTCCAAGTTACAAGCATGGTCGACAACATTTCTCTCTTATGCCGGAAAGGTACAACTTATCGCCTCTGTTGTATACGGTTTGGTTAACTCATGGTGCTCTGTTTTTTTGCTCCCAAAATACTTGCTCAGGCAAATAGATAGCATGTGCGCCAAATTTCTTTGGAAGTCATCTGGAACAGGAGCATACAGAGTAGCATGGGTCAGCATTTGCCAGCCGAAATCTGAAGAGGGCTTGGGCCTTCGGAAGCTCTCTGTCATCAACCATATGGCAAGATTCAAACTGGTATGACTACTATTTGTTAAGGCTGGATCCCTGTGGGTAGCCTGACTAAGACATCACATCTTCAAACGACGATCATATTGGACATTGAACCCCTCGTCTCAACTAACATGGAATCTACGCAAGCTACTTGGAATCAAAGAGCAAGTCAAGCCCTTCATCAGAATTCTCCACTGCTAAAACATGGAGCCAGATCAGAATCTCTTCAACACCAGTTACGTGGCACAAAACGATGTGGTTTAGACATGCTATTCCTCGACACGCCTTTATACAATGGCAAGCTCTCCTAGGCCGTCTACCAACACTAGCCATGATCATCTTAAAAGTGTCAATTTACCTCATATGGCGAGAGAGAAATAACCGCATCTTCCGGAAAGTTGTTGAGGAAACAAGACACAAACTCGACCGCCTAGTCCGGAACATCATTCTTTCCACACAAAAAGGGAAGTCGACATAAAAAAATCTTCTTCTATAAGACTGGTTTTACCTAACAAGACCGCCTTAGTACTCTTAACTCTATTAAGGTGTCTTCCTTCTAAAATCCACCTGTCATGAGAATTCCGCTGTTTTTTGTTGTACGGTCTTCAAGACCGTAATGTAACTCAGACATTTGTATGTCTTTTTATGTAAATAGATTCACATTAAAACAAAAAAAAACTATGACGGATAGACAGACACGACTTATGTAAGAAAAAGTTTTTTTTTATTTTATTTTCTGATATTTTAGATTTTATTTTGAACATATGTGACGGACAAATATGTTTTGTGCTTGCGATTTGTAATTTCGAAAGCGATTAAATTACGACCTTTTTTGTCTCACGTTGTAATTTACACAATTGTCGTCAACTAACTCCGTAAATCCAGAAATTTTATATTAAAATACAATTATTCTTCTTAAAAATTCTAGAATATATAATAAGTCCAATTAACGACAAAAATCAAAGAGTTTTGATCATACTATACAATACCGGTTGACTTGACTTCAGTCTGTCATAAACACACAAAAATAGTTGGTTAAGTTCGATCAAAAAGTATTTATGGAGAAAAAATTCGACCGAAAAATTTGTATTTAATTTATCTTAATTTGACTTATTTTTAATTGTTATCTGTTTTTTATTACTTGATAGAATAAGAGTAGTTTAGTCAATTTATATCCTTAGACATTTTAGTAATTTGATAACAAAATTTGGATTTAAAATTTGGTATAACTTTTTTAATTATGGATTGCTATTGTAAATTTTTTTTATTATATCAAATACGTAGTTAATGCAGGTGATTCAGCAGTAAAATGATGAGACAATTGTGCAACGGGAAGCGTGGGATAGCATTAAATTCGGATGGTGCACCGTAATGACGGTAAATCATCACACAGAGTATAATTATACCGTATAC